CTTCTTTTCTTCTTTGCCAGAGTCCTAGGGACTCAATATGCTTCTCCTGCTTTGTTCATGTGGCTGTAACTTATTTCTTACCTAGATTTTCACATCAATTATACCAACTATAGAGTAGAGCTCAATGACTGCAGCTTCTACTGATAATCCTGCAATCCTTGCACACAACCACACAAAAACAAGACACAGGGTTCCAAAATTCCTCAGAAGAAGTTTCTTTGGATTGACTGATCTGTTTGATTTTGTTTGTTATTAGACTTTAAGGCTATAAACAAGATAACACACACTACATGAAGTTTTAAAAATCCAACATTGTTTTGTTGCCATCGTCCCCTTTTGAATGAGTAACTGTGAATCTAGTTCCTTCTAACAGTAATAACACTTGCTGGGTACTAGGCACTGTGCTAGGCACTTTACTAACATGCTTATCATTCACCACAGTGAACTAGGCATCCTGGTGTCCATTTCACAGAGGAGGAAAATGAGGCTTAGGGAAAGAGATTTACTAGGCTGAGGCCATAATTATTAAGTGTTCGGGCCATTAAGTGTTCAATTATTAAGTGTTTCTAAACGAAACAACATTTATTGATTTTCTCCAAAACCCCCAACCTGCCATGAGTGAGTAGAGCTCACCAAATCCCTTTTATTCCCCAGTCCTTATAATGTATGTCACAGTGACCTTATACTTACATGCAGCCCTTTTTTCTAGAGTGTCAACTAATGACCTTTCCAGTGTATATTTATCTTATTGGTATTACTCGTGTGTAAGAAGCCTCCAAATTGATTGATGGTCGTTTTAGTAGAGTCTCGCCCCACATAAGCACTATCTTTTTGGAGTCCCATACTAGACTGGATCTCCTGGGAAACGGTTTTTTGCTGGGAACATAGAAGTGTTCAACTAATCTTTGACGAATAAATGAATAAATAAATAAAACTGAAGAATATATGAATAGACAAGTTTTCTAATAGGTCATTCTTGCAACTGTCATTTGCACTGTTCCAAGGCAATGTATCCTATAGTAGAATTTAAAGCATACACTCAGTCATGGAAATAGAATCCCAGCCGCATTGCTTCCAAAGTCTGTGAGTATGGACACATTACTTAACCACTCTATAACTCAGGTTGTTCATATGTACAGTGAGTAACAATTTACTCTGGCATATGGAAGATCATATGAGATCATGAATGTGATGCAAATTGAACATTCATTGAATATTACTTTATGTCTCTTTAAGACTTTAAGACAAATGTTGCAACCTGAGTTTTCTTCTTCTTTTTTTTTTTTTTTTTTTGAGGCGGAGTGTAGCTCTGTTGCCCAGGCTGGGGTGCAGTGGCCGGATCTCAGCTCACTGCAAGCTCCGCCTCCCGGGTTCACGCCATTCTCTGGCCTCAGCCTCCCGAGTAGCTGGGACTACAGGCGCCCGCCACCTCGCCCGGCTAGTTTTTTGTATTTTTTAGTAGAGACGGGGTTTTACCGTGTTAACCAGGATGGTCTCGATCTCCTGACCTCGTGATCCGCCCGTCTCGGCCTCCCAAAGTGCTGGGATTACAGGCTTGAGCCACCGCGCCCGGCCCTGAGTTTTCTTCTAGTTTCCTTGTCTTGAACTAGTTCTCCTTTGCCTGGGTAATTGTATTGGTATCCTATCTAGCATCTAGAGATGGAGTATACCCTAAAGGTCAAAACCTTCCAGATTCTGGAAACAAAGTGCCTGCATTGATTGAAGTCCAGGTCACACCACATTGTAACTGTATGACCTCAGAAAAGTATATTTATGGCACCTAGCCTCAGCCTCCTCCTCATCTGTAATATAGGGATAATTATAGTAGCTTCCTTCATGGGATGAAAGTTTATAATTAAATGACTTAATGTCTCTAAAACACATAGAACCATATTTAGCCTCATGAAAGGCATTCAATGAATGTTTACTTTATTGTTACTACTGCTAGTACTACTACTACTACCAGTACTACCACCAACACTACTTTAGGCACTTAAGCAAAATAGTTCTACAACGTTCTCCTTGGAGGTAGGACTCTACTTGAATCTCTGCCTACTGTTGGTTTCCACCTACCTAGTGGGTGTTTACTACTGGATAGCACAAGTGTCATTTGTCCATCTGTCTCAACTATCCGGGTTGTTTGCTGCAGAAAATTGCCCCCAAGTACTTGCAATATGCTGAAGTTTACCTTTCTCAACTTCAGGGTCTATTTATCCCTGATCTTTCCCATTTTGAGATTTACAGAGTAGCATCATTCCAATATTAAGTCATCTCTAGATCACTGAATGTGGTTTGTGTGTGTGCGCACGCGCGTGCGTGCGTGTATGTGTGAATACATATCACTTCTGCTGTCATATGCTTCCTGACTCTTTGCTATGAGCAATGATTTCTCATTTCCAGCAGTGTGCGTGTTAATAGCAGCCCTTCTTCTTCTGGTTTGGTGTCTCTAATCTGCTGTGGTTCTGCCAACTGGGAAAACCCAGTTTGTTTGAATTGTGTGTACAGTAAGTGTAAAGAGAGTCTGACAGAGAGCCTCTGGGAATCTCCCATGAGTCAAGACAGTGAGAGTCATCATGTGAACATTGTAACATAGAGTCTGGCTGCTTAGAAGATTGTTTTTAGCTCACTTTCTTGCTCTTGGTTGTACAGGAGAGGTAAGCTTTGCCAGGCATCTGAGTCTTGGAGAGGTCAGGCATTATTATTCTGATTTTATTACTAGGAATACAAAAGACATTCAACTCATCTTTTGTTCATGGCATTGAAATGTTCTGAGCCACATATTAATAAGACCAGACGAAGTGTATCATATATTTTCTGGGGAAAGGTGTGTGAGGATTTTGACGATCTAACCTCTAAAACCCCTTCCAGTGTTCAAAAATCCTGCACAGCCTGAATCTTGGTCCAGGACAGATACTCACTCTCCTAGGCTCTCTGGCCCCAGAAGCCAGAGTAAAGAACTGTGTAGGACAATAGGGATGGCAACATCTAGGGCTCAGTGGCAATAATGCCAGTGGTGGTACTGGTGGTAACGGGTACAGTGCAGTATTCAGGATTTGACAGCAGCAACAGCAAGGCTGCCCTACATTATCTGTCCCTGTGATGCTTATTTTGACTGTGGATCCAATCTGCTGACCTCTTCTAGTCCCCTCTCATTTTCCAAGCCTGGTTCTCTAGCTCTCAACATTACCATTACTGTCTAATAATTTTCCAGTAAATTGCTTATATGCTTAAGTTAATCAGCACCAGTTCTGCTGTTTTCAGCTAAGAACCTTGTGTAGGACACATGGGTGATTCCTTATTTTTCTATCTAAATCGTATATATAAAAAGCACTTGATTTCAAAGGATGGTTGAGCCATACATTGGATTATGTTCAGTAAACTTTATTGTCACATCTTTATTAACACAATTATTCAGAGGAGATGGTGTATTAGTCTGTCCTTACACTGCTAATAAAGGCATACTTGAGATTGGGTAATTTATAAAGAAGAAAAGGTTTAATGGACTCACAGTTCTATGTAGTTGGGGAGACCTCACAATCACAGTGGAAGGCAAAGGAGGAGCAAAGTCACATCTTACATGGCAGCAGGCAAAAGGATGTGTGTAGGGGAACTCCCCTTTATAAAGCCATCAGATCTCATGAGACTTATTCATTATCATAAGAACAACACAGGAAAGACCCTCCCCCATGACTCAATTACCTTCCACCAGGTCCCTCTCACCACATGTGGGAATTAAGGGAGCTTCAATTCAAGATGAGATTTGGGTAGGGGACACAGCCAAACCATATCAGGTGGCAAAATTCTATTTTGACTCACTCCTTCCTACTTAGTTTACACTCCTGAGCATCCACACCACATTCAGTGATCTAGAGATGACTTAATATTGGAATGATGCTACTCTGTAAATCTCAAAATGGGAAAGATCAGGGATAAATAGACCCTGAAGTTGAGAAAGGTAAACTTCAGCATATTGCAAGTACTTGGGGGCAATTTTCTGCAGCAAACAACCCAGATAGTTGAGACAGATGGACAAATGGCACTTGTGCTATCCAGTAGTAAACACCCACTAGGTAGGTGGAAACCAACAGTAGGGAGAGATTCAAGTAGAGTCCCACCTCCAAGGAGAACGTTGTAGAACTATTTTGCTTAAGTGCCTAAAGTAGTGTTGGTGGTAGTACTGGTAGTAGTAGTAGTACTAGCAGTAGTAGTAACAAGTAGTGTTTAAATCATTTTCCAAAAATCACTTATTTAAATAAAAAGAAAGAATTACAAAATTCTTTCCAGTGAAAGATTAGTTTGGAGGAACAAACCCAATGATGTCATTGCTAATATGAAGTACAAGTAATTATTTTTTGATCACAGAGAAAAACGAAAGGTAAGATTTGAGTAAAGTTTTTACGCTAGTATTTGCGTTGGGGTATGCTAACTTCCTGGAAGAGTGGAAAGAGCCACAGGCAAACATCAACTCAAAGCCAACACTAGTATGTTTACTCAATTACTTTGCTGTTCACTAGTTCCTGAAAAAGATTTCAAAAAAGAATCAGTCTTTCCATGTGGCTCATGAGTATTAACTATCAAAGAAAGTTATACGGGGGTATGTGTGTGTGCATGCCTGTGCTCACACAAGAGAAAAAGAGAGCTGCAGGGAAAGAGATGTTCTTGTTGCTTAGAAAGAACCAGAGATGAGATGTGGAAAAACAGTAAAATAATGTCCATTTTTCCTAAGGACATTTCCTATTCCTGGTTCCAATTTGTCTTGAGACTCAATTCTTTTCTGGTCATGTGTTCTGCATAAACTCCTGTATTCTGAAAAGAAACTTGTTGGTTTTGGTTATTTGCCACGAAAAAATTCTGACTAATGCAGGAATAGATCAGGATCTATAGATCAAATAGGTTAGCATCTCTTAAAATGTTATACACAATCATATTTTGTAATAAAAATATATGATAAAATTTGTAAATAAAAAGATACATTAATATACATTTTTATAATATAAAAGCTACACTACATTTATTTGGAGAGGAATAATGCCAGTCTCCTACATTTAAAATTTATTCCAAATCTTTCAAATGATAGCAGAATGATCTTCCCATACTTATCAAGAAGTGACAGGAGTTAGGAATTTAAAACCTGTTTTTGAATCATTTGATTTGTAAAATGTTTCTCAAGGCTTCAACACAATATAATTGGCTGCCTATCCTCTTCTTTCAACTGAATGTAAATGACCTGTCAATTTCTGCATATGGCTTTCTAAATTTAGGTGATAAGATAATTTACATTTATAAGCGGTAACCCAAGAAGATGCATAGTGCAACTGTATAACTAATTCAGGCTAAAGGATTGTGATGGAGACCATTATTTTGTGAAGAAATAAATCCTGTTAAATAATAAACATAAAGCATAGCTACAAGAATGGTGAGAAAAGGAAGATGGCAAAGTCATAGTAGTTTTTCAGAAAGTAGAATCCAAAGAAACATATTTAGAGAGACTGTTACAGAATCATCATCTCTATTCAATTTTTGCAGAAAATATGCAAATTGTAAAAATATGCAAATAAAAACACTTTGTCTCATTAAAGTATTTTGAAAAGAAAAGCAAATTCAAAATACATTCAAGCTTCATACTATTCTAGCTAAGTGCAAGCATTTAAAAAATAAGAAAACAATGATTGACCTGGACAATATATTTAAGATATTTGGGCCATGTCAATACAGAATACTGTAAAGGCAAGCTTTCCTTTTTATTCATGTGAACTTAGTGTTACATGATTAGAAGACTCTATCTAGTATAAGGGTGAGATAAATCTGGTTCACATTCTAGCTTTGGCAACCTATTAGCTCTCTGAATTTGGACAAGTCATTTAAAGTCTCAGCCTCTTGTACTTATCTACAAAATTGAGTTGTTAGCAGAATTAAAAGATGTGGAAGTTAGCTTCTGCTCAATAAAATTATGTCAATGTAAATAGGCAATGTAGCTAACATTGCCATCCAAGTAGTGTTTTATATCCTATATTATTTGGTTTGCCTACCCACCAGTATAAATTTCATAGAGAGGTGCAAATGATGTTTAATTAAGTTGGCTAAATGGATCTTGTTATACATTGGCAGCCACGTGGTATATTATAAATGATCTACGGCTTCGTGTTCAGAGATCTAGTTTTGACATTGGCTCTGCTATCCAGCAACTGAGTGAACCTAAACATGCCACTAAAATCACTTGAGCTTCATATTAAAAACTGGAGAGGGGAGGGAAATAATGCAGAACCTATTTCAGAAGGTTAGAATAAAAATAAATGAGCTAACATGTATGAAGGCGCTTTATAAAAAGAAGCTCTCCAAATAAGTGTCAGATGATGAAACACGCAAGAAGAGGGTTTTGGAAGGTACTGTATTTGAGATTGACATGAAGGAGAAAAAAAAAACCTTAGCAATTACAAAATGAAAATATTTAATTTAGAAATACCAAATAATCTACAAACTTTTACTTCAAACTTCTTTAACTTTCTTCTACTTTGTGTGGCATGCATAGTGCTCTGATAGCAATGTGTTTAGAAGGTTGTAAGAGGAAGGCTGCTCAAAAAATACATTACGCAGATTTGGAAGGGGGTGGAGGTAAAGTTAGAATTTCTGAGTCATTAAAACATCAGATAGCACTTTCTGAAAGGTGTAACTTTATTTAAAACTGTGCTGCTGTGAATTCTACCATGCTGCAGACACCTCTGAATCAACAATCTCTGTTGGCAAATTGTTATGCTGACAAATTCTCACACAGACTGAAAAGTTCCATTTTGTAAACAAATAAGTGGGTTACTAATGATCTAGCTTACCACCTGGAACTTTGAAAAGTGGGGCCCTGGCTTGAGTGACCCTGAATAATCTATTTCTCACATTAGCAAAGCAGACTCAAGTATTTATCACCAAAATCAGAGAGCCACTGTATGAATGTAATGTTAAGTCTGATAGTCTTCTTCAAGCACGAACAGCACATCACTGACTTCATTGGCTGGAGTCCCTAAGATAGTAAGAGGGGCATAATGTGCTAATGTGGTCTTCTTCATACCACTAGGGGCTCTGTTTCACTTCTGTCCATAACAGAACACATTTATTTCCTAGAAGAATGATCCACAGGTCTCTTGGCCAGGATATTTGATGTACACACATGGGAATGCACCTGCAGGCAAATACAGGTTGGGTGATGGGCACTTTTTCTCCTGAGTCACAGTCAGTCACAGGGGCTCTAGTTTTGTGCCTTCTGATCACTACCCCCAGCATCTACAAGGAATGAACTGGACATGTGACATACCCATGCAGCTGGGTGAAAAATCATCAGCCATTACAGTGAAGGGAAGTAGGTGAGGTACATGTGTATATCATAGACTTTGGAGCAAGCAAAGTGCACATATGTTACAAAAGGTAAAGTGTGCACATAACAAAAGATGTACAGGAACAGTAGTGTCCAAGAAGGGATGTCAGATGTGGAGATAGGAGGTGCTGGGCCCAGACCCTGTTTGTAGTGCGATTAACTGAGATGTCTAATAAAAGCTTAACACGGGGTCTAGAATATGGGAAATCCTCATATATCAGTATTATTAGGAAGTAATTTTCTTTCCACTCCTTTAATAAAATTCCAATTTGAGCATCACCTACATATTAAAGGGGGTTTCATTTCATGATCACAAGGCTCCTCCTAGCTCAGTGAGTAGAATGAACCTAGTGGTAATTTTACCTTTGGGCAGCCTTGTTTTATAAAGGGCTAGGACTCATTGTTTTATAAGGACAAGGCACCTCTCTAGCCTACTAATTGGTGGTAAGGTGAGAGAATGTAGAGGGGAATGCTTGTTTTTGACCTCAATTTTGGTCCCAGACTCATTTCTCATGTACTTTCACCTTCCCAGTTCTAGATGCTTTAAATTCTCCAGCCCATGTCTGGGATGGCACAGATTTACCTGTCGTCTCATGAAGAAAGAGCAGGACCCAAAAGAAACAAGGAATCTGGAAGTTTTGTCATCAGATCAACAACCTAGAAGTTAGAAGAGTTTAGTCCTGTGTGATCATGCAAACAATGATCTTCTTTCCTATCTAGAAAGCAGAAATGATATCCAGCCTTCCACACCTGTGAACACAGGCCTGAGCACCCATTGTCCAGGTTAACAAAGATGTCCTCAAGGGCCAGACCTGAGCAAAATTAGAAAATAGAGGTGGTATGTTGCAACAAGCACTGGAACAGAAGCCGTGATACCTGGATCCTGGCTCTGCCATTAACTAGTTATGTGACCTTGAACAAGTCATTTCACTTGTTTTGAGTCTTGGTTTTGAGTCATTTGACTTGGTTTGAGTCATTGCATTTTTTAAGCCTTGGTTTTCTTATATGTAAAATGTTTTACACATAAGAAACGTTATCACATTTTACATATAAGAAAACCAAGGCTCAAAAAAGTGAAATGACTTGTTCAAGGTCACATAACTCATTAATGGTAGAGCCAGGATCCAGGTATCACAGCTTCTGTCACGGTTCAAAAACTCCCAATATTTACTGACAAGAAGAAAACGTTTAGAAAATATTTTAATCAGATAAAAAAAAACAAAGTTGTCTTGAAAATGAGGGTCAGCCTTCCACAATTATGCCCTCTCCCTCTCATTTGTTTCTCTGTCTCTCTCATTCTTTTTGATTCCTCAGTTTATAATAAAGTGTTACCACCATAGGTGACACCTCCTTTATTGGTATTTGTGTGCTAAGAAATCAAGCCTATCTGGCGTTAGGATTTCAGATGCTTGCAAGCCAAAGAATGTGGAGGAAGACTGTTTTTGCAAGTGCACGCATGCATGCGTGTGTGTGTGTGTGTGTGTGTGTGTGTTTTGAGGGAGATGAGTAACTGGTATCCTCCTTAGGCAGAATACTCCAAAGACAGCAGCCTCTCTAGCTGAGGCAAGGTTGATTGTGCAGAGAGCCTTTTACAGCGTGGCCCACAGACAATATGAAATTCTCTCTCCTCTGCAGCCTTGGTCTGCAGTGACACTGGCAGATGCTAAACTTCGGCCTGTCTAGAACAGTTAATTAGGTTATAGAGGCTGCCAAAAATCCCAAAGTCATCCAAAGAAAATGCAACACTTTAAAATCTGAAGCAAAGGTCAGAAGACACAAACATTAATCCTATTTCTAAGAAGAGAGAAACAAACAAAGAAGGAAGGGAAAAAAGAAAGGCAGGAAGTCAGGTCCCTGCTAATCTGGCAGCTTCTAATTAATCTTTTATAAACAATATTGAGATCAGGCATAAAGTGATCCTCGCTCTTTTCTCCAGTAATAGATACTGTACATTCACGTACGATGATATGCAATAAACACCGTATATTTGTGACCTTTCCACAGCTCTCAGTCCATCCCTCTTGAGACAACAGAGGATCCTTCAGGGACCCCCTTCCTGCTGGAGAATATTTCCACCCGAGAATGAGTCTGGAGTGAAGAAATTGAATCAATTAAATAGCTGGGTATGTTCAAGCCTTCTTTATGGGCTGCATCAAATTATCACAAAGTAAGAACTGCTGCTGTCTGCCCCCTGGTTCTCAGCAGTGGAGAGGCAGCCTTACAAACCTAGAGACCCAATTCTTCCAAAGAGGTTACCCCAGAACGTGTGTGCTGGGGCTGGAGTGGGGTAAAAAAAATGAACAGCAGTGCATGGGACTTCACTGCCACCAGCAGGCCCCAGAGGAAGTGCAGGCCCAGAGGAGGCCAGGCTGCTTAGATTAGGAGCATCCAGGCAAGAAGAGAACACATGCGTCTGAACTGCCTCACCCTGTGCCCGCCCACCCCTTCTTCCCCAATCTCAAAGATTTGGAAAAACTGTTATTCTTCCGTAAAAGACAGGTGTCCCTGCCCAAAAGCCCAGAATAAGTGATTTAGAGACTAAACTGCAATTAAGGCTACAAACACTCCCTTCTCCCGGCGCCCTTAGTCTCCAACACATTTACACTTTATTTTGCGAGGTCTTCGTTCCTGTCCTGGCTTATGCAGTATTTCCATGGGTGCAGTGGAGTGGAAGGGACACGGCGATTTCACATTTGGGTCCCTCTGCGTCTCATGTCACCTCAGACATGGACTGGACCCCTGCGCCCTCCACCTTGAGCCTGGAACCCGAGGACGGCCGCGCGTCCGCTGTGGCCGCCCTGGATCAGCTTCAGGTGGAGCTGACCCACGCGTTGCACTGACTTGGAAAAGCGGCTGAAGTGCGCACAAGAAGCTGCTGTCCACAGCCAGCTCTGATTTCTCGCACCCCGGTCCCAATCCACGGCCACCTGCACTTTGCGTAACGTTGCGCAGGGGGGCGCTCCCGAGAACCCACACCCTCCCGCCCGGCCCAGGTGCGCACCGGCCCGCGCGGGGATCCAGCAACCTGGCGGGCGACGGGACCGGGAGCCGCCAGGCGAGCATAAGAGCTGGTGAGTGCGCCTTGATGGGAGCAGAAAGGCCCCCTAGGAGCCTTAAAGGCCTCAGAGGAGCTACCCGCGGAGATCCGCTCCCGGAAAGGTTCCGGGACCACGCGGCGTGGAGCACGTGAACTGCGCAGCTTGGCTATAAAAACCCCCGCTCAGACGCGCGTGGGGAGCAAGCGGAGCGGCAGGACGCTGCCACCTGCGCCAGGAGAGATAGGGATGAAGCGACCCTCCCTCCAGGACGCCAGAGACAATCTGGAGACTTGATGATTCAAACTCTCCGGGCCTGGCTTGGGGTTGTGTGCGTCGAACTTTGAGACTGGATTCCCTGCACTTGGGCAGAGACGCGCAGACGCCCGCGAGTGTGGATTCCCGAAAATTCTCAGGGCTCGTGTGACCTTTAGGAGAGTTGGAGGGGGCGTAGTAGAAGTCTCAGGCTAATTGATTTCTTGTCCTCCACCACGGAGGCAGCCAGGAGCCCTCGGCTGTCCACAGAGGAGCCTGGGAGACCCCTGCGCACTCCCGAGGCCCCCGCGCCCAAGCCCCGGCCGTCCTCTAAGCCGCAGGTTATTTCTGTGCCCGAGAGAGGCGGACTCGGATAAAGTCGGGACGCCTTCTCGTACATAAAGTTTCATCTGCTCTCCTCGCTCGCACTGTCCCTGCCGCCTGGCGGCCCCCTCCTCCCACGGTGGGCGCGGGCGGGGAGATGGCCGCCGGCGCTTCCCGGCGCAAACTGGCGCTGAGCGCGTAGCCGCAGCCACGCTGACCTCCCGCTCCAGCTGGCTGCTGCTCTGAGCCCTGGCAGCAGGCAAAGGCGGAGGCCCAGAGGGGCAAGAGACCTCTGCGACAGGGGCCCGAGGGTCCGTATGGCAGCTCGTCGCCGGCGGGTGCTGTGCGCCACTGAGCTCGCCAGTGGCGCTTCGGGCTCGGAGCGACTCTGAGCGGCGCCGCCTGCAGAGATCGACCCGGCAGTTCCGCGGAGCCGCGGGCAGGAACCCGAGGAGCAGGAGGTGGCGGCGGCGGCAGTGGCTGTTCCTCCCAGAGGGCGATGTGGCCGGCAGGCGCGGGCACCAAGCTGCCCTGTCCCCGAGACTCTGCGCTCCGGCGGGCAGCTTTCTCTGGTAACCTCACAGCCCTGCCCTCTCACCTCGTGCCCGCCGGCCGCAGCGTCCGGGTCTTCATCAGCGCCAACCCTGAAGGTACGTCTCTCGCTCGGGTTTGCCCGTCTGTCCTTCTGTCCGTCCGCGCTGCGGGAGCGGGAGTGTGTGTGTCCGCCCTCCAGCCCGGTGAGCCCTGCACTCCCTTTCTCCAGCTAAAGCCGTGGCCGCCCTGAGCGCGTGGGAATTTAATTTGAATCACTTTTCTTCTCCCCTCGCTGGTCGGTTTTGCCTGCTCACTTCTATTAGGACACCCATTCTCCACCCAGGGTTATTCCCCTGGGTCAATCCGAGAAACATGCAAGGCATTAGTCGGCCCTCCTGGAAGCACCATTCTGCCGCCGCCACCACCACCTCCTTTCCCCCGCCCTTTTTTAAGCGGTTTCTTCTCCGAGATGACCGCAAACGCAAACAGTAGCTCTCCTCCCTGAGGCGGGTTCCTGAGTGCGGGGCTCCCTCCGTGGCCACTTTTTCCAGCTGAGGCGAGGCGAGTTCCTTGAGACTGTCCTCCTGCAGGTGCGATGGTGCCCTTTGCAGAGGCCAATCAGACTTTTGTGAACCGGAGGTCCAGGGGGACACGCTCTGTGGGTCCCGGAACAGGCTTCGCGGTGGAGCGCGCAGGATGAGCTCATCTTCTCCGTTGGGTCACAGGGCTTGGTCTTCTGTATCTAGAACCTGGCCTACTCAGTCATGTTCCTGCTTAAGGCACCTGGTAGGCACTCCATGAAAACTTGTTGATTTCTTGTTGCATTCACAACCACAGAGGTTGAACGCTGGGCGGTCAAATCCTGACTCATCACTACCTTCCAGTCCTTAGTTCTCAACGTTAGATTTCATTTCCCGTAAGTGGGGGGTTGGGGAAGGAAGGATGTATTTGGGGCTGGATAAAACTGCAGGAATTACTCTTTTCTAGGAAAAAAAAATGTTTGGCTATGAGTCTATAGGAGACTGACAGAGGTGAGAGGTTTGAGAATTATCATTTTTTGCACTCTAACAAGCCTTTGGCTCGAGGAGTGAAGGAGAAGCGTCCACATTCAAACGATCGTTGGATATAATTCTAGTTTGAAAACCCAAGGTTCTGGTTTCTTGAAAAAGCTTTCGGAGAAGACCCACAAAAGTAACTTCCTAGAAAATTACCGTTTCGGAAAAGAAATAGCACTAGCAGAATTCTGAGGTAAAGCTTACATTATGAGAAGGAGTTGGGGAGAGAATCAAAAAGATAACATGCACTAATTCGTATTAGAAAAACGATATGCTTTGGGGGGACGGCATGACTGTCCTTTTAACAGTTTACAGCTCACTTTCAAAGAACTTAAGGAGGCTTTTAGGATGATACAGTACACTCAAAAAAAATCATTCTATCTCCAAGATGTCTTCTAGTATTTGTACCTAAATCTGGATTTAAAGGGAGAAAGAAATGGAGATATTCAGCCTATTTAAGGAAATTTGCAACTTAAGTGTTCAGGATTACTTCTTAAAATATTGCTAGAACATTTTTAAGTGAGAGAATTTTGGTAGAAAATGTTTAAATGTTAGACAATTTTAGTTCTGAGCTTTAAAATAAAGTCATATGAAATGTGTTTCAATCTGCTGCTGACGTGAAGCTAGCTAAATCACTCTTTTCCTTTAAAAATGCTGCTTCTAAAATACAATAAAAATTCTGTTAATATGTGTAATTTTTTCTTGCTCTCTAGATTTGCAATTTCTAAGATAAAAACGATACTGAATTTATACTATCAGCTTAATATTGAGTTAGTACTCAAGGTTAATGTCATTTTTTAAGCCTGTCCATATTATTCTTCAAATTCCCTAGTTTCTTGAAATAAAAGATTTAGCATAGATTAACCCTAGGAAAGCGAACAGGAGGGAGGAGCCAGTCATGCCCCTTGGCTAAGGTTTGAACTGGACAGCTTCCACAAGGATCTTAACAAACAAAACAAACGTGAAGCTTACCTGGGAAGTTTCAATAGGGGCAGGATCTCAGATTTTATCCAAATTGGAGAGCTGACGGCATATTAAATAAAAAAGACAGATGGGCATTTTTAATGATATGAATGTGAAGCCTTAAAATCTTGGTAAATGCTCTGTCAGAGGCAGCACTTGACCGTGTGATCTTTATGGATGCAATTTAGAAAGCAAATGCTTGTGTTTTGGTACGATCCAATATTAGATTCTTGGCCAATACTGAAGAGCCTCTCTACTGTCAAATTAAGACAGAGAACATTATCTCATGCTTTCCTTTACAAGCGGAAATCCAATTTATGTTCTAAATAAAAGCTGCTTTGTGTTGAACTCATAGCAATACTCAGAACCCAGCAAGGATTTTGCTTGGAGTATTGTTTTAATAGGTAATGCTGTACAAGGCTTGCATGGAATTTCCCCATCAGTAACGAAGATAATAGAATGGAATAGATAATAGAATGAATAGAATTTTTTTTTTTTTTTTTGAGACGAAGTCTCGCTCTTGTCACCCAGGCTGGAGTGCAGTGGCGCAATCTCAGCTCACTGCAACCTCCACCTCCTGGGTTCAAGCTATTCTCCTGCCTCAGCCTCTGAGTAGCTGGGATTACAGGTGCCCACCACCATGACCGGCTAATTTTTGTACTTTTAGTAGCAACAGGGTTTTGTCATATTGGCCAGGCTGGTCTCGAGCTCCTGACCTCAGGTGATCCACCTGCCTCAGCCTCCCAAAGTGCTGGAATTATACAGGCATGAACCTCTGCACCCGGCCATAGAATTTCTTTAGAATGAAAAAATTACTTTCCCATGTATTAGTTCATTCAATATATTAATTTTGATTTCTATCCTCAAACAACCCTCTGAGGGTAGGGTAGTGGACCAGGGGTGCTCCATCTGTTCTACAGATGAGATTACTGAGGCTGTATCAAATTATACCACTTGCCTGAATTAATATAGCAGAGCGAAACAGAGTAGAGCCTACAGGACCCTGAAAACACTTCTCTTGATATTATTTTATCCAGCCTAGGCTCTTGGCAGATCTCTGTGAAATATCTCACACCACATGGACAAGACAATCCAGATAGGGGGGATAAGCACTGTCCAGCATCTTCTGACTGTCAGACTTAAAAGAGTATGAACAGCTGGCAGGGAACATGGCTATGCTGACCCACTTTGCTCCCACCAAGAGGTAGCCTCAGGCATTCAAGGAAATTTCAGAATGTGCTGGACTTCAATTGACACATTCTTGTCCAGAAGTGTATCTGCCTCTGACTAGTCTCCACCTTGTGGAAGATGCTGGAGAAGGACCCATGTGGGGGAGGTGATAGCATTATCCTAGATTTTCTTAAATGGATGGGCCTTGGACTTCATCTAGTTCCACCTCCCACCCAACATAGAAATTCCATCTGTGACATCTTCATCAATCCTTGGAAGTTTTCTAGTCATTTAGCTACTGTACTTCTGCCAGAACAGCACTTATAGCTCCTTGGAAAGATGATTTTAAAACCCACATAAAATCCTTTACTGTGATTAGCCTAAATAGCCCATGCATATGGAGATGAGAGGAACTTGCCAGATTCCTGTTATTAGAGTGTAAAGGTCCTCCTCTTCTCTGTCTTCATTCTTTATCAATTTATAGGAAGGTACAGTCTTAACACAGAAGGAAAACCAAAATATCACTTTTATTACTGATGAAAATGATGCAGGTCCACAATCCATTATCTGTGATCATCGGGGCCAGATGTGATTTTGGAATCTCTTTTTTCAGATTTTGAGGAAAAATACTTATATACTGTCTAATATGTGGGGCCTGGGGTAACAACCCATGTCGGATATGAATAGGTATATAAGGAAACATGAGTTCAGTCTAAGCCAGTGTTATACAGAACTTTCTGTGATGCTGGAAATGTCTATCTGATATGGTAGCACTAGCCACATAGGGCTACTGAGCATTTGAAATGTGGCTAGTATGACTAAGAATATGAATTTTTAATTTTATATAATTTTAATGGATTTAAATTTAAGTAGACTCATGTGGCTTTTGTATCAGATAGCAAAGCTCCAAGTGGAGTGATGCAGGTTGTAAGTAGCTTCATGTCAGTCAAGGTCGGGTTTGGCCATCAAGGACTCAGGTCACTTCAGGTTTTGCTACCAGATGGATTGGAGGAAATCTTTTATTTTCAAAGCTTTGAAGATTTTTGGAATTGCAGGTAAAAGATATGGACTTTTATTAGAGAATATGGTTTTAACTCTGGGCAAAGGACTTTCCCAATATTGAACCCAAGAATTAGACAGGCTTCACCCCCAGTCACTGTTAGCAGTGGGCAGAGCACAGACCACTCTCCCTGGCTCGTGGACAGAGTAGATCCCTACACGTGGAGAAGTAGAGGAGAATGGCAATTTTACGAGAGAGGAAGCAGAGGCTGGGCTATCATGGTCAGATTTTCCTTCCACCTGCAGCCATCAGATTAAGATACTTCTCCTCCCCTAAGGAGTAATTGACAGCATCCTACACTAGTGCATTACCCTCTGCATGCAAAAAGATATCTGAAGTGGAGAAAAAGATATTCGAACACTTAATGCATTTTTCTGTCCACTCAGATTTCTGTGCTGGTCACTATTGAGAGTCGTGAACTCTTGTCCACAGTGTTGATCAGGTGTTCATACCATTACCACTTGGTTTTCTTTTGTCTGCATGGCTTTGCATCTTCCCAGACTCTTCATGTCTTTGGAGTCTCCATAGGAAAGTTTGTTCTCCATTACAGTGGAAGTAACAGCAAGAAACATGTTTTCCCTTTATGTGTGTACATGGGTTCATTTGCTACAACTAGTGATCAATTGTTTGAACTTGCTTCCCCATCCAAAAGGCAGAAATATCTGCATTGAGAAATTCACATGAAACCTATCAGTATTCTTCACCATTATTCTTCTTACTTTCCCTACTATCCTGATTATTTCTGTGACTCCCTTTTTATTGTCATTATGAGTAGTGGAAAAAAAATACTGCAAAAAGCGTGTATGTGTGTGTGTATATGTACACACACACACACACACATATACACAGCCAGTTTGATACAAGAACA